TTAAAATATGCATAACAAAAGTTGTATTCAAAATCACAAACTTATAGAATAGCATAATAATGTAATCTAAATAAATTGTGAAACTCTAACCTTTTATAGCTTTTACACAACTCGTTCAGGGATTGTACTTCAGGATTATAGCCTTCTACTAATTCCTGACTAACTCTCTCAATCAAGTTTTCTGTTGGTAAGAAAATTTCCAACAAGATGAAGGTCTTTCCTTGAGAACCACCACCCCTTTTATACTTTTCAGTATAATGGAAATGTTTGAAAGATGAAATGTTTCTAGTCATAAAAAATAGCCATATATAGTTATTAAATACACATAGGTATATCTAGATACTATTAAGTGTATCAAGTATTCATGACCAATAATCACAAATTATCATTATACACCATTAAATGTATTTTGACATTGCTAAGAGTATCTAAGAACAACGATAAATAGTTATCAACAACTACTAAATATCATTAAGTGTAAAACGAAATTCATAAAAAACCAAAGGTAATAAACTAATAAATTATCATTTAACACCATCAATAGCCACTAATAACCATTGAACAATATTATTTGGTCCTTTCATCTTCCCAGGAAACAAAGAATTACAATATTTTCTTCAATCTTCATTAAAAGAAATAAAAAGTTCTTCTATTTTAAACTAATAAAAGTCAAAAATGATTTATGCCTAAACTTACAAAAATAGTAATAGTTCTTTTCTTTTCAAACTCGATCAATTAATCAGACATAGTAGGGACCACATATTTATCAACAGAGCCTTACAAATATAATATTTAATTCGTAAAAAGCATGAATTAACCATATTATAATAAATCATAGATTGTACCACTAAAAATTTGTAATTGTACTATTCTATTTAATTTCAATTTTTTTCTATTAAAACTTATTTAAATTCCCATGTTAGAATTATCGAGACAAATCAATTACATCAAAATTCTAAGAAATATAATCCATTGCCTAATTTAATCCTTTATCTTTATGCTTAAATTGATTCACATGAAAGATATACATGTAAAATCCACTTGCAGGTTTTCACGTGACTATTTATAAGCAACCATAAGGGGTGTGTTCTTCTCATATCGGAGATATGATTCTATCAACTAATTATTCTTTCACGAATGTAATTTGTTATTATCCAATACATTATAAATATTTTGAATCATCACAAAGTCACACCTTTTAATAGATTTAAATAATAAACTAAACTGCATAGATCATAATAACTACATCAAAATTAACAATATAAACTCATGTAATGGAGTAGAGATATTATTTATTGAAATTCCGAATCTAAGTACATATCTTATTTTGATCAATTCAATATATGTAAAATTTACTAACACAAGAAGTTAGAATCTTATTATTCTCATAATCAAGATTGAATTATATTTAATCTTGTTTACAATCATCAAGATGTTTGTCCAACTTCATCTTTGATTGTAAACATTTAATTTATAACTTATAAGAACCAATAATTTTAATCTTCCGCTTATGAGTTAAACAACTCCATACCCAAAAATCATCTACTATATAAGTAATGGACATACACATAAACATAATAATCTATTTAAATAAAGACTTTATTGTATTAATTAATATAATATGTGAAGTCTCTACAAATAATTAAAATCAATATTATAACTCAATCATAGGGTTAATAGTATATCCCAACAATCTCCCACATTAGACTCATAATCATGCATGTACAATTTTAACACTCATTACATCCATATGCTTATCAAAAGGCTTTTCAGGTACGCCTTTGGTAAATTGATCCGTCAAATTATTCTTCGATTCAATCTTCTAAACTCTCACATCACCCTTTGAGTTATATGATAAATCAAGTGATATTTCCTCTCAATTTACTTACTCCTTTTATGTATACATGGTTTTTTTGATTTGGCAACTGCACCACTGTTATCACAATATGGTATAATTGGTGCTTCATAGAAGGAACGACTCCAAGATATTTTTGAGTCAAACAACCTTTTTAACCGCATCATATGCAACTACATATTCAACTTCCATGGTGAAATCAGCAACACACGATTGCTTTATGATCCTCCAAACTATGGATCCACCTTCCTGAGTAAATAAATATCCTGAGGTCAATTTTCTAAAATCTCTATCTGACTGAAAATATGAATCTCTATATATAATAGGTACAACATTGCCAGGGTGAAACAAGCATATAATCCCTAGTCCTTTTAAGATGCTTGACTGCAATTCAATGTTCTTGCAAAGGGTTAGACTGAAATATGCTAACCATGCCTACAACAAAGTACATATCAGGTCTAGTACATAACATAGCATACATAAGACTCTCTACGACAAAAGGGTAAGGGAACCGCCTTCATCCTTTCTATCTCATCGGTCATTTTGGATGACTAATACTTTGATAAAGTAATATCATGTCTAAAAGGAAAAACCCCTCTTTAGAGTTTTGCATGCTAAACCTCACAAGAATAGTATCAATATAAATTGTTTGAGACAAGTCTAATATCTTTAGTTTGTGATATCGCAAAAGATTAATCCCAAGAATATGAGTCGCTTCTCCCAAGTCTTTCATATCAAAACACGACGACAAAGATTCCTTAACAAAATTTAACATGCTCATTTTATTTCCTATGAGTAAGGTGTCATCAATGTATAAAAATGTTACTATGTCTTCCTCCCATTTCTTATAGATGCATGATTCATTTTCAAATGGATCTAAACCAAAAGTTCTAATCAAATTTTAATAACAAATATTTCATGCTCGAGATGGTTGTTTAAATCCATAAATGGATATCTTGAGTTTAGAAATTGATATACCGTGAGTTTACAGTATTCTAATGCATTTCACTTAAGAGTTGTATGTGTCTAGAGCCTTTTTGTATTGATTTTGATGTTTTTGTATCATATCTTGTAGGAAAGATATTTAGGTGTGAAATTAAAAAAGACAACTGAAAATGTGCAAAAAATGGCATCCACGGAGGCAATCGACTGACCGTAGATCCATTGACGCCGTGTAGATGGGTATCGTAGATGGGCAACCCAGGCATTGGATGAAATCAGGAAAATTTGACCAAGTGTAGAATCGCGACGAGCATTGACGGTCCGTCAATCAATTGACGGACCATATTGGTAAACCATAGAATGAGATTGCGAGGGTTCAGTGCTTGATTTTTGAAGATTCTAAGTATGGAGTTATGGAGGGGCATTGAAAGGACCGTCGATTGATTGAAAGACCGTACTGGTGGTCCTTCAATTGATTCAGAGAGGGTAGATTTTGGATGCTAAAATATTTTCTAAGTCTTGGTTGACGGAAGGGACTTACGGATCGTAGATCAATTGACTGTCCATAAGTCAGTATCTTAGATTGAAGACGCGTGCCTGAACAAACTTTTATTATTTTTTCCCTTTCTGATTAGGAGTTTTTTTTCTATAAATAGGTTCTGTTAACCTCATCTTTGGGGTTGGCTACTATTGTTATTGTTCTAGTTTGAGACTTTGGAGATTAAGTTTTGCAAAATTTAGCAACTTTTGATTTCTTAAGTTGATTTTGAAGATTTTGGTGTTGATATTCAAGTTGAAATTCCAGGTTTATTTGTCTCATTATGTAAGTTTATAATTTTTTCATCTAAAATAATGAACTGTGTTTTTGTGATTACGGGTAACTAAACTCCACAATTGAGATTGTGCGAACCATGAGCAATTAACAACGTATGAATAGTAATGAAGCAATCTTCGAATAGTGTTTTGAATGAATTAATAAGTCTTTCATTTAGAAGTATTTTTCGCAGTTGTAAACGTTAAAACTTGCCTTGTTGCTACTTGCCGGACCAAGGAGGTAGTTAATAAGGAAAGAATTATCAACATAGATTTAGTTTGATACTATCTAATAGTCTAGTATCGATTGGTGCGACAGTGAAAACTAATCCATACATTAATGAGATTTCTAAAATGAAGAAAGGTAAGGGTTATTAAATTCTACACAAGTAACTGGACCAAGGTACGGGGTGAAATTCTTTATATGTCGGACGACGGATTTAAACATACATAACTTATCACTTTGCGTGTAATACACAAGGAAGGATCACTATTACTAGGATTACCGCATTATGAGCTCATGGAGAACACGTCCCTTGTTACTTTCTCATTTTGATAACAACCGAAGTTAATTCTTACTTACTTGATAACTTCATAATCTTAGGATTTTGTTTCACAAACACCCTCCCTTGTTTACTTACTTGTTTCAGAAATACCTTGACTAAACGAATATAATTATGGGTTAAAATTAAGTCTAAAACATATTCCTTATAGTTACAACACCAACCTATTAATTGAGTTCTTTACTTCATAACAATCTCTTATGCTTCTTTATGGAGGTGTAATTTAGAAGTTGGGATCGAGTGGGGTAAACGGATCGTGAGTGATAAGGTGAAGTTTGAGTAACCCAATTTACGATTTTGTTTTGGGGTTTTCTTGCCAGTGTTATTTTTCCCCAAGAGACTGTTTAAATTTCTGTTGAACTGGCATATATTAGGATTGTATGTGTAGAAGCAAGAAAGATTGAATTATGATGGCTTGTGAAAAATGAGACTAGTCCAAAATTTGTGATATATCCTTGAATTCGTAGAATAAGATAAGTAGAATTTGTAGGCTCTAAATATTACATGATAATGCACCAACTGCATGACCCGAGACTAATGATGGGCATTTTATGGCAGTCACTACTCGAGGGGTTAAGCAAACCATTGATCCATCTATGCCATCTGGGTGGAGATTGATGCTAGAAAAGATACTGAGGTGACAGAGATTAGTAGAGAGAATGGCAATGTAATTATAAAAGAAGATGTGATTACATCCCTTTACAAGGACTCCACCTCCCTTTCCTCAAATATTAGCAAAGAAAACAGAAGAAGGAAAATACCACAGGTTCATCACTATTCTAAAATAGCTTTCCATCAATGTTCTGTTGATAGAAGATCTAGAGAAAATGCCTGGTTATGCAAAGTTTATGAAGGATATGATTATAAATAAGACATATGTGAGTTTTGAGGATTACGATAATTTGCAACATTGTAGTTCTATTGCTATAAGATCCTTTGTAGAGAAAAAAGAAGATCATGGTGCTTTCACTATCCCTTGTACCATTGGGTTATTGCACTTCGCCAAGGCACTATGTGATCTTGGTGCTAACATAAATCTCATCCCATTGACCATTTACAAGAAATTGGGATTGGGTGATGCGAAACCCACTACGGTGCGGTTGATCACGACGGATAGAATTGTGAAGAGGCTTACTGGAGTTCTACATGATGTGCTAGTGAAGATGGAGTCATTCATTTTTCTAAGTGATTTTGTTATTCTTGATTGTAAGGTTGACTTTGAGGTTCCCATTATCCTTGCAAGACCATTTCTCGCCACGGGCGTGTTTTGGTTGAAATGAATAAAGGGCAGATGAAGTTCAGGCTTAACAATAAAGAAGCAACTTTACATATTTGTAGGTCCATTAAGTAGAGTGGTGAGATCCAATCGGTATATGCTATTACTTTTAAAAGTGAGAGTGCTTCGAAGGTGCAATTCAATGAGAAACTGGGTATTGAGGCATTAGAAGTAGTGATAATGAACTTTGAGAGTGATTTCATCGAAGTGTATGATGAGTTGGTGGCTGAACTTGATAGGTGCGAATATCGGTCAAAACATAAAAAGATGGAGTTGGATATGAAAATTCGTGAGACTCCACCAACGAGACAATCTATGGAAGAGAAACCTAAATTGGATCTTAAGGCTCTACCCCACATTTGAGCTATGCATTCTTTGGTATGGATGAGACACTCTTGGTCATTATTGCAGTGAATCTTAATGGGTGACAATTAGAGTGTTTAGTACCGGTGCTAAAGATGTTCAAGTGAGTTATTGAGTGGACTATTCCAAATATTATCAAAATCCTCCCGGTATTTGTTGCCACAAAATTGATCTCATGACAGATCATAAGCCCACTATTTAGCATTAGAGAATAATCAGCCTATGCAAGAGATAGTGAAGAAGGAAATTATTAAATGGTTGGATGCTAGATTCATCTACCCTATTGCAGACAGTAGTTGGGTATGTCATGTTCCGTGTGTGACTAATAAAGGTGGTATTATTGTGGTCCTAAATGAACAAAACAAGCTTGTGCCGATGCGACCGATGACCAGATGGAGAGTTTGCATAGATTGCCGGAAATTGAGTATTTGGATAGAGAAGGACCATTTTCATATGCCTTTCATTGATCAGATGCTGGATAGACTTGTAGGATATGTATGGTACTGCTTCCTTGATGGGTTTTCGAGCTATAATCAAATCTCTATAGCCCCGGAAGACCAAGATAAAACCACCTTCACTTGCCCCTATTCGACCTTCGTATATAAATGCATGTTATTTGGGTTGTATAATGCTCTAACAACCTTCCAGTACTACATGATGTCGATTTTCTCCGACATGGTTGAGGACACTATTGAGGTATTCATAGATGATTTCTCAGTAATTGGTGACTCTTTTGATAGATGCTTTGATGATCTGGCTGCGGTATTGAAAATGTGTGAAGATTGCAGTTTAGTGCTAAATTGGGAGAAGTGTCACTTTATGGTAAAAAAAGGGCATAATGTTGGGATACCAGATTTTTGAGAAAGGTATTGAGGTGTATAAGGCAAAAGTAGAAGTAATAGAAAATCTTCCTCCACCTATCTCGATAAAAGGTTTGAGAAGTTTTCTAGGGCATGCAGGTTTCTATTGGAGTTTCATAAAAGATTTTTCGTAAATTACACATCCTTTGTGCAAGCTGCTTGAAAATGAGAGTAAATTTCACTTTGATGATGCTTGTGTGATAGCATTTGAAGATTTGAAGAAGAAGTTGGTCTCAACCTCCATCATCATTGCTCCAAATTGGGGGGAGCCGTTTTGAAGTCATGTGCAATGCTAGTGGAGTGGAGCTTGACGTCGTTTGGGGCAAAGTCCGGGGAAGATACTTCACCCTATTTAGTATGCAAGCAAAGCTCTAAATGCAACAAAAAAGAATTTACATGGTTATAAAGAAGGATCTTCTCGCCGTGGTGTTTGCATTTGAGAAATTTTGCTCTTATTTGCTTTGGACAGCAGTCATAGAGCACGCCGACCATTCGGTGTTGAGGTATTTCATGGACAATAAGGATACAAAAATATGACTCATTCAAAGGGTGTTGTTGTTGCAAGAATTTGATTTTGTGGTGAAAGTCGCAAGGGGACAGAGAACCAAATCGCTGATCACTTGTCTAGATTGGAGGATGACAATTAACTTGAGATTGTTCACAAGGGTGAGATCAATTCCATGTTCCCAGATGAAAAGGTATTGGCTGCTTCCCATGACCTCATTCCTTAGTTTTCTGGTTTTGCTAATTATTTGGCAAGATATTTTTGGTACCTCCGGATCTGTTATCTCACCAAAGGAAGAAGCTCATGCATGATGTAAATAAGTTCTTTTGGGATGAGTCATACTTGTATTGTAGTTGTGCTGATGGGATTATTCATCGATGTGTGCCCGAGATTGAGATGTCGAGATTTCTTGAGCTGTTGCATTCATTACCTGTTGGAGGGAATCATAGTGGTATTCGGACTGCACATAAAATTTTACATTGTGGATACTATTGGGCAACCATCCACCAAGACTCTCATCATTTTGCCAAGTCTTATGATTGTTGCCAAAGAGAGGGTGGGATTTCAAAGAGGAAAGAGCTTCCTATGAACCCAATAATGGTGATCGAGTTATTTGACATATGGGTAACTTATTTTATGGAGCCATTTGTGAGTCCATATGAGATGAAATATATTCTAATTGCGGTTGATATTTAACTGGGTGGAAACAATTGTGCTCCTTAACAATATAGGCAAGAGTGTTGCCGCATTTTTTAATGGAATATCTTTTCAAGATTTGGCACCCCAAGGGAAATTATCAGTGATGGAGGTTTTCGCTTTTGCAATAATTTTTTAAAATGTTGCTTGAGAAGTATGGTATCTGCCACAATGTAGCTACTCCTTACTATCTACAGATTAGTGGGCAAGTCGAAGTGTCCAACAGAGTCATAAATCCAATTTTGGCAAAGACTTTGAATGCCAACAATACAGATTGGTCAAGGAAACTTCATGATGCTTTATGGGCCTACCGCACCGCATACAAGACTCTCATAAGTATGTCTCCATACCAACTCGTATATGGAAAGTCTTGCCATTTGCCGGTAAAGCTAGAGCATAAAACCATGTGGACAATGAAAAAGCTTAACTTGGATTGGGGAGCCGCATCAACTCAAAGGGTGAATGACTCGCTCAATGAATTTCACCTTAAACCTTTTAAAGTGTAGCCGTGTATAAAGAGAAGATGAAGAAGTACCATAATCAAAGGACTGAAAAACAAGACTTTGTAGTTGGAGATATTGTACTTCTATTCAATTCTAGGTTGAGCTTATTTCCAGGCAAGCTCAAGTCCAAGTGATTTGGACCATTTTTACTCAAGAAAGTGTTCCCACATGGAGCAGTGGAGCTTAAGAATAGTAAAGGAGAAAGGTTCACGATAAATGGACAGAAGATCAAGCTTTATCTTGGAAATGTGGAGATTGTGCAAAAAGTGATTGAGGTCTGTAATCTTGATGAAGTTTGAGTAATCAAGATTCTTGCGTCGTGTCGCGTTGCTAAATCAAGTGGTACTTGGGAGGCAACCCAATGTGTAAAATCTAGCCAACCATAGGTTTATAATTCCTGTCAAGTAGTTTTCTTTTGTTTATTTGATTTCTTGTACAAGCATAGTTTGTTGTTAATGTTTGGTTTAAGTGTTGGCTAGATATAGCATAGGGTACGTGTCTAAAATGTGTCCAAAAAGTATAAAAACATGGCTACTTGTTGTTACATGTGCAGGAGCTCAAGTCAAGATCTATAGAACATGGTTTGGGGCAGAGGTCTACGGACCCCATCGACAGTCCATCAATCCATCGACAGACCGTGAATGGCGTCTGTAGATCCCATGTAACATTCTAATTTTATCTCTGTCAGAGTAATTGACATCCCCATTGATTGACAATCAATCGATCAACATACCGTCAATGGGGTCTCATAGGTCCAACCTCCAGCCTGTTGACCCGACCCAAACTCCCTTATTTAAGAATTCCACCATTCAAATTAATTTCCCACTTCCATTTTTGACCCCCAAAATCGTTTCTCCTTATCCCATCTCCCTTAAATTACTCCCCAAATCACTCATCCACTCCCATAAACCATCCAAATCCCATTTCCCAAAATTCAAACTTTCTCTCTACCAAACCCTCCCCCATCTCATTCCCATAAGTTCAGTGTCTGGGTTCAGTGCTCGTAGAAAGCTTTTTATGGTAGTGAATAATGGTTCCATCATAGCACTCCTTATTTCTTGTAAGATAATAAGACTTCCCCTCAATTTTTGATTCTTAGATTGAACATAGAAAGTTTAAAGTCGGATTTTGACCTTGGGGGTTTGTTTACGAAAAAAGCATGCTAGAATTAAACTTGTGAACACACTTGGGGGTTTGTTTACAAAAAAAGCATGCTAGAATTAAACTTGTGAACACACTTGGTATAATTAATAATGATTGCGTCTAATTCTATTACCCGTAAAATGTGTTTTTAAGTCTAAATATTAGTTCTGACCTAGGGTTCCATATTTTGTCTGAAATAACCATAAACATGGATGAATTGGACCCCTAAGAATGACGAACTAGCACAATATATGTTGAAATGTATGAGAAGAGTAGGAGAATGTTTAAAATGATTACAAACTTGGGACCATTAATTGGAAAGAGTTATTTAATGTGACATAGACCTCATCCACAAGACCCCGTCTATGGACCTTCGATCAATTGATGGACCGTCGATTAATCGATTAACCATCAATTGGGTCCGTGGATTGATACACAAACAAATTTCACTAAATAATAAATGAAAAATGTAGACTACAGTTAATATTGATGGAGGGACCATTCTTCACACGCCTTGTTTCTATCAGAGACCAATACTTTTATCCCTTCGATCCATCGAGGGGTTCCATGGACCATAGATCAGTCTACGGACCGCCAACCCCACCCTCAATGACAATTGAAGCCACTATTTGTAAATTTTTTAGTTTATTTTGGTACTAATAACCCTTCCACATGTACCATGGCACCCAAGAGGCAAGTGGTATACACAAGAAAGGGAATATTCTAGTTGACTTCCCCGACTCTCTAGTTAATCAGAACACAAATACCTCACCCACTGCACCCCAGACTACTAGAGGCACCCCCCTAGAAGGTGAACCTCGACATAGTCACTGCCTCCTAATCTGATGAGGAGCGCACACTGATCGACTCACCAACTGGGGCTTCTTTTAGTTCTGAGGGTGAATCCACATCTGGCTCTGAGTTATTCACTGTTTCGGGCTCTGTGTTTGACCATTCTTCAGGGTCCAAGTTGGCCCATGCTTTAAGCTCCAGTTCTAAAGGAGCCACATGGTCAAGAAATAATGAACAAGAAGCCTTGCCTGATGAAGCTACTAGATCGAAAGCAATACAACACAAAGAAATGATGATCCTTCTCTAGTGGCCGGTTAGACAAATATATGGGTGTTGAGGGTTAATGACATGTCTATCGAAATGCCAAGATGCTGATTGATAAGGAGATGATGTTTTGATTGATCAATGAGGAGTGTCGATTCCTACCAGGGAGCTTGCATACAGTTCCAGAGGTACACCAGATTGTTAAACTCCACAAGTGCAACTGGATGGCGCGGTACC